AGTTATTGCGGTGATTTTTTTTTTCCTTAGGCTTGTAACCTAAGGCTATCGATGTATCTGTATCAGTATGTATACATGTATATTTTTGACGTAGGATAACGTTTCTTGTTTATTTTAAAAACTTGGCAAAGAATTTTGGAAACACATTTGTAAAATCATTGTTCTCCAATTCGTAGCTATATTTGCAAAGCCTGCTTTGAGGCTCTCTGTCTCCCTCACATCTGGTGTTTTTTTCCCTCACTCTGGAATAAAACTAAAAACTAGGTGCTTATAATCTAATGGGAAAGAGAACGTGCAAATAACTATGTACAAAACAAGATACGTGCAGGATAAATTGGAAATAATCTCAGAGGGAAGGTAGGAGCAGTCTATCATTAAGAAAAAGGAAATTCGCAATCAGTAGGAATCCTCAAAATTTCTGAGTGCATGGCGATTCACAAAAAGAAGATAAATTATTGGATCTGAAAAGGCAAAGCTGGAATACAGGCAAGGGGCAGGTAACTGGCAAAGAGCTGAAAAGGTCTTAAACACAATCCAAAGAAATATGTACTTTTTGTTATCATTTTATGAAGTGTGAAGAAATTCTTCTCTTAAGTTTGACTGAATTAAAGAGCGGCTATCATCAATTGGGGAATGGCTGAACAAGTTGTGTTATATGAATGTAATGTAATACTATCGTGCTGTAAGAAATGATGAGGAGGCGGACTTCAGAAAAACCTGGAAAGACTTGCATGGACTGATACTGAATGAAGTGGGCAGAACCAGGAGAACGTCGTACACAGCAACAGCCACCTTGTGCGATGACTAACGTTGATAGACTTAGCCTTTCTCAGCAATGCAAAGATCTAAGACATCTGCAAAAGACTCATCATGGAAAATGCTATCTACATCCAAAGAAAGAACTATGGAGTATGAATGCAGATCGAAGCATATTATTTGCTATTTTTTTCTTTTTTCTTTTTTTTTGTTTCTTCTTTCTGGTGGTTCCTCCTATTGGTTCTAATTCTTCTTTACAACATCACTAATGTGAAAATATGTTTAATAGGAATGTATATGTATAACCTATATCAGATTGTGCTATCTTGGGAAGGGAGGGGGAGAAAATGTAAAACTCAAAAGCTTATGGAAGTGATTGTTGATAAATCAAAATAAATTAATAAAAACATTTCTTAAAAAGAGTGGCTACCTATTGACTGGCAGAAGGATTGGCAACCTCTGGTGGTCTTTTAGAAGCAAAATATAGATTCTAGGTGAGTTGAGTTGCCTAAATGAGCAATTGTGCATTGAGGGGAAGGGGAGGGGGGGAACTATGTATAAGATCAATCATATGCAAACTGGTCTTAGTGTTCCCAAATCTTTTACACCTGATAGTGAAGTGAAGCTTCAATGGTAAGTAACTTCAGAAGCAGGGTTTTTTTTCTTCTTCTTGTCATGGAGAAAAATGCAGACGCAAATTGCATTGTTGCTAAAGATTTACCATTTGACCATCACATAAATGCTAGTATTGTTTCAATGCACTGATGGCTGGCATAAGCCAGGACCTCTAGATGCCTGAGAGAACCTAACAAAGAAGAACCTAAATGGATCATTGCATCATTTATATTCAATGTGCTCTCATTATCCATTTGAGATCTGGCTGATTATGCCATACCTCCCATTCCTCCCCCCCAATAAATCCTTCTAAAATATTGGTTTTGTGTTGGGGTTTGCTTACATTTTTTTAGTGATACTAGACACTTCTGGTACACTTATCTATCCATTTAGCATTTGCTGCTAACTGTTAGGGATTTTACAAGCTCAAATGGGGCAGGGAACATGCATAAGGACAGGATCAGGGGTAGATGCTAATCCATTAAAGGAAAATAAGAAAGCCTGGCCAAACAGGTAGGAGGTCAAACAAATTAGGAGAGAGCAGTGTTACAGAAACCAAATGAAGAATGTATAAAGGAAGAAATGATTAGTTTCAAATGATACAGGCATGCCAAGAGAACTAAGAAAAGGTCATTAGATTTAGCACATCAGAGATAATTGTTTGAGAGCAATTTCAGTTGACTAATGTGAACAGAACTAGATGGTAAAAGGTTGGGAAGTGAATGCTAAGCGAGGAAATGGAGGTATGGTAGAAGTGTGTTTCTGGAAGGTTGCCTATGAAAAGGAGTTAAGCTATTGGATGACAGCTGGAGTGAAAAGAAGGGATGTTTAAAGTTGAATGTGTCTGTGAACAATATGTAGAGCCAGAAGATAGGGTCAGGGAGATTAAGAGAGCAAGCTGCCAGAAGAGAGAGGAGGGGTTGGATCAAGTGCAAAATTAGAAGGTTGGATTTGACAAGGAAATGGGTCTTTTTTTTTTTAAGACAAGAGTAAAGAAGGTGAGTGGTAGATGATGAAGAGGAATTTTAATGTGTGGAGTTAAGGGAGAAGATAGAGCTGACAGTAGATGAATTCACATTTTCTAGTAGAGACTAAAAATAAAAAGGCCCTTGTGTTATATTATAGGGGCATACTGTGTACACAAATAAGCAATATAGAGTAATTTTGGAATCCAAAGAACACTAACAACTGGGAGGAATGAAGGGTTTCCTGGAACAAGTTACATCAGAACTGAAACTCGAAGTGAGACAGAAGTGAGCATAGTTGTTGTTGTAGGCATGGGGTGACATGAATATGGGCAAAAAAAGCAGGAGGAATGTAGCATGTCAAATTAGGAAACATCTAGCAAGCCTGTTTGGTAGGAACATATAATTTGTGATGGGGAGTAATGATGGATGTGCAAAAGTAGATGGGGGTCAGAGTGTGGAGGGTTTTAAACCTCAGGCTGAGGAATTTGTGTTCTTGACCTTAGATTATGTTTCCCAGACTCCATATCTCTAGTTCCTTCAACTAACCCTCTTACAGTATGGTTTCTAGAATAATCACCAAAAGTCTTCTCTCTTCTGCTTTGGTTCCATCTTGTCAACATCTTTTTTTTTTAATAATATTTTATTTCCCCCTGATTATATGTAAAGACAATTTTTAGCATTCATTTTTACAAGATTCTGAGTTCCAAATTTTTCTCCCTCCTTCCCCTCCCCTCTTCCTAAAATAGTAATCAATTTGATATGTTATATATATACAATCATCTAAAACATATTTCCATAGTAGTCACAATTGTGAAAGAAACAGAACAAAATGGAAAAAAAAGACAAAAATGAAATGAAAAAAGTATGCTTCCATTTGTATTCAGAGTCCATCAGTTCTTTATCTGGACGTAAACAGCATTTTCCATCATGCATCCTTTGTAACAGTCTTGGATCATTGTGTTGCTGAGAAGAGCTAAGTCATTAATAGTTGATCATCACACAATGTTGCTGTTACTGGGTACAATGTTTTCCTGGTTCTGCTCATTTCACTTTGCAGCCATTCCTACAAGTATTTCCAGGTTTTCCTGAAATCTGCCTGCTCATCATTTCCTATTGCACAATAGTATTCCATTACATTCATATACCACAACTTGTTTTAGCCATTCCCCAATTGATGGGCATCCTCTCAATTTTCAATATTTTGCCATCATGAAAAGAACTGCTATAAATATTTTTGCACATGTAGGTCCTTTCCCCTTTTTTATGATCTCTTTGGGATACAGACCTAGTAGTGGTATTGTTGGATCAAAGGGCATGCACAATTTGGTTGCCCTTTTGGCATAGTTGTTCTCCAGAATGGTTGAATCAGTTCACAAATCCACCAACAGTGCATTAGTGTCCCAATTTTCCCATGTGCACTCCAACATGTATTATTTTCCTTTTTTGTCCCATTCATTAGTCAATCTGATAGGTATGAGGTGGTACTTCAGAACTGTTTTAATTTGCATTTCTCTAATCAAAAGTGATTTAGAGCACTTCTTCATATGACTATAGATAGCTTTGATTTCTTCATCTGAAAACTGTCTGTTCATATCTTTTGACCATTTATGAACTGGGGGATGGCTTGGATTCTTATAAATTTGAATGAGTTCTCTATATATTTGAGAAATGAGGCCTTTATCAGGGACACTTGCTGTAAAGATTGTTTCACAACTTTCTGCTTTCCTTCTAATCTTGGTTTTATTAGTTTTGTTTGTGCAAAAGCTTTTAAATCTAATAAAATCAAAATTATCTGTTTTATATTTCATAATGTTCTCTATCTCTTATTTGGTCATGAATCCCTTTTCCATAGATCTGACAGGTAGACTATTCCTTGCTCTTTTTATTTACTTAGGGTATCATCCTTTATGTCTAAATCATGTGCCCATTTTTGTCAACATACTTTTAAAACTATGAAACCCCAAATTGAAGCCAATGCTCTGGATCAGAGTCAGAATGAGCAGTTTTGGCACTCAGAGCAAAAGCTCAGGGAAGGCAGTACAAAAGAGTTGACTAGGGGGAGAAGTAGACACGTAGTGCATAGACCCTGGGACACAGCAAGAGATAGCTTCCCATTTTGACTAATTCTTCTCACAAAATAATTAGTGCTCAATAGTTTCAGAGCTGCAGAGACTGGCCAGGAGTATCTTTTGTCTTCTAAACTTCAGTACCTTGGAGCAAATGTGGAATAAGCTTCCTTCTGTTTACACTTTCCGTCTTATGGAATGCAAACTCCTTAAGGGCAGAGACTTTTCTTTGTATACCTAGAGCCTGTAACTAGGCCCGACACCAAGCTGGCACTTAATAATGCTTTTTGCAGGTTTTTTTTAAATTTTGTTTTGTTTTGTTTTTGAGTGTAGCAGACTACTGAATACCTATTACTTCCTTTGTTCTAGATTCCAGATTCCTCTAAGTGGTGCCTTAGGTCACCTTTGCTTTTCCCAAGATCCAGGATAGTGCAGGGTCTGATGTCAGAATGACTCATCTTCCTGAATTCAAATCCAGCCTCAGACACTCACTAGCTGTGTGACCTTGGACAAGGCACTTAACGCTGTTTGCCTGGTTTCCCCATCTGTCACATGACCTGGAGAAGGAAATGGCAAACCACTCCAGTATCTTTGCCAAGGAAACCCCAAATGGGGTCATGAAGAGTCGGACACAACTGAAAACAACAAAACAAAAATCATTGAATGAGGTAAGGAAAGATTCTCTCCCGAATCAACTGCAACTTGTGGACAATCAGAATATTTTTTGTTTTGTTCTGTTCTGTTTTTAAAGGAAAAGAGAAATACACAATCCTCTGGAGTGAAGTGGCTTCAAATTAAGATTGTTTTTAGACCATAACACTGAATATTAAGTAGGAGGGGATCATGGCTCACCCTCTTCTGTTATCTGCAGCTAGTTTCCTACGGATTTTCCTTTTCTGTACATTCTCAAAGCAGAAAGGTAATCAAACCTTTTTGATCCTAAAAGTGAGCTTGTACAATAGAAGATAAGACTTCACGATATTTCTGGCTAGTTTTGAACTGGGAACCTTTCACATATCAGATGAAAGTCACAATCACTATACTACTCTCAGCTACTTTGTTTCTTAGGTGAATAACTTGGAGGAAGACAGCCCCAGTTCTTCCAGTAGTGTGAGGAATTCGTTCTGCTTTGAGCAAGTGTGCTCAAAGTGCCCTGGTGCTGGGTCCTATTTTTTATTGAAATGTCCCACCATTCCTACTCTTAATCTTTCTGAACTCCTTGGAATGGAGTATGAATCAAGCCTTTGCAGTCCAGCCCGTCCTTTTGTACTCTTCTCTTCCCACCTCGATTAGGGCCAGTAGCCAATCTGAAAGTCAAGAACCCTCACTCCTGAATTACAAGCAGAAATCTTCTGGGAACCTCAACCTCAGCCTTTGGGACTGCTGTTTCTCTCCACACTTAAAAGGCAAGCCACAGTTTGCATCCTACTCTGAGGCTCCAGATCTGCTGTTTTTCCCTGGTGATCCCATTGGCTTTGACGTCCAGAGCCATTACATCACTTGCTCAAGATCATATATGAAGCTGATGGGGTACAGTCCCAAGCAGAAACCTTTGCCCCTTACCCCAAAAAGAATTTGGGTCCCATTTGTCTAAGGGATTCTCCTTGAGTTCTCCCACTTGATCAAGGAGATCTCTGGCATTCCTATTCACTGGCCTTTCATTGGCCTATGCCCAATCTCCCGATTCTGTTACCCTTAACCTAGCCCAGCCCTCTATTGCCTATTATCTCCCGATGGCCCTCCTCCCTCCTGTCACTTCCCACCTTCAATGCTATCTAGATCCCATTCTCCCAGTCACTCCCATCAAGATCCTTCCTAGATCCCCTCCCACAGTCTTTCTGCATACAAGGTCCATCCTGTCTTCACTGAGGTGCTCAGATTCCTTAAGAACCTAGCCAATTGCTCACAAATGTTCAAATTACTTAAGAGTCTGGCCAATATGGCAGATCTTTAATAAACCTTATCTCTGGCTGAAAAAAGGCTTGAGTCGAATTCTTTTGGCCAGGACCGCATCTCTTGCTCTAGATATTTTGGGGCCCCAGCACCCCTAAACCTCAGCAAACCAAGTGGCAGAGCCTCTGCATACATTGCTCTTCCCACTGCACATTAATGCAGTGGGATTTATAACATTATTTTTCTTTCACACAATAGAGGGTTGGGTTGTTTTGACTGGGCAAAGTATCAAGGCTTATCACCAGGCTGGTTCTAGAGTAAAGAATTTTTCAGTCACAGTAAATTTCCTGGAGCATCTACTAAACGACAGAAGGATTGTAATTTGCTTCTGTAAATGGAGTACACAGGTAGACAAAGCCTTAAACAAATGAAGTAAAGCTTCTTTGAGCTAGGTAGTCATGAGGGAATGTTTCAGTTGATGAACTGGAAAGTCACTGGGGATTTCTGATACTCCTGAATCCTACCCATTATGCTTCACTTTATCAGTGGAAACAAAGGATTGAATTTCAGACACCAAATGTGGCATTTCAAACAGCAGCAGCTACACTCCCAGAAACTACTTCCTGCTGTCTCTTGACCTTTCTTTGACTGTGTCCAGCTAGACTACAGAGTGTCTCTACTCTCTGATTCAATATGCTAGACTCTCAGAATGGCTTCCTACTAGATGTACTGGTTTCTATTAGCAGATGGGAAGCCATGCAGTAGGAAAAAGAGAGGAGAGGCTCTCACTGAGGGCAGATGTTTTCATTTTGCTTTTATTTCTTATTGCTTACCATACTGCTTTGACTTAGAAATCTGGTGAAAGTTGCATCATGGAGTTTGAGAGTTCCCAAGGAGAATTGATTTCTTCAGCCTCTGCTTCAATTTGTACCAGTGTGTGCAGTAGATCCAGAATGCACTTAAGACTTTTATTCCAGATTCATTTAATTCCCCCTCAATCCTTTAAGGTTAGCATGCTACAATCTTTTTTCTGGTAGTGATCATTCAATATTAAGGATGAATATTCAGAACAGGATGGGAGGAAAAAAACAGTAGTTCTGGTCAGTTCAGTTCAGTGGAAATACCATAGGTCATGCTAAGTGCTTTTGACTGCAAGAGCAGAGAACAATTATTCTGGAGACGAGCAGTTAGTCATGGCTGTTCTACTATTTGGAGGGCTCAGAGGGAAAGTGTCTCTGAGGGGCGCAGTCTTATTTAATCAAGCTCTTTCTGCATTCCAGTGGCCATCAATTGCTCTCATAATATCTCTGAAGGACAGCACTAGGAAAGCAACATGACAAGGTACCAACATCTCTTCTTGCTCCCTTCAGAGATAGGAGAAGGTGCTCCAGTACTCAATCTCCACTTCCAAATCCCTTGTCATCCTTCTTTCTCCCAAAAGTCTGAGACTGCTTGTTTCAAAAGCCAAAATCACGCAAAACATAATGCAGGATATGTTTGGCACCTGTAACTATACGGCATAAACAGAAATATCAACACTTTAAAAATAATGATATTGATTGTCCCGGCATCCCATCTGACCATACTATGGTACTCGTAAAAAACAAACATGTATTAACAGTAAGTACAATAGAGATGGCACTATACAAAGTATCATTTAATGGAAGACATTTAAGTGATATCAAGTCTAGTTATATAGGACATAAGAAAGGCAAATCTCAAGAGTACATGCATATCCATAGTTCACAGGAAACAATAACCAGCAAACCAAACTGCCTGTTACAATATAAATAAGCTTATAAAAACAGAATAATATAGTCATTAGTGTATAAACAAATAAGCAATGAGGAAAACAATAACAGACATTGTTAGAATATAAACATAAGTACATAAGTAAACAAGACAGCAAAACAAAATAAAAATTACTCAAACGTGCAAGGCACATTTCACATGAGCAATCTCTAGGACTATGACTTGGATACATAACAATTTCTTCAGATTCACCCGTAATATATGTTGATCTAGTGACTGATTTGATGGATTTAGTTCTTCTGTCACATGTTGATCTCTCAGGTCCTATACCTGAGCTAGTAGATGGTATGTGATGACCACCTTTTTACATGGCAGCCAAGCCAGCCTAGATGAGGGAGGGACAGGATATACCAGGCAAGTCAAACCACCACTACCACTACCTCCTCTCAAACTCTAATGGTGATAGCTCAGGACCCTGAATCCAAGCTTTAAGAATAGCAGTGCCCTTCAAACAACTGGTCCTTATTTCCAGCCTGGCCCCTGTATCCTCTAGTGAGAGGAAAAATCACTGGAGAAGGGGCCATTTTCCTTGTCACCTCCACCACCAACTCTTGATCAATTGCTATTGATAGACAGGAAGTCCAAAAGATTTAGGATACATATACCCTTATTCCAACCCCCACGGCTGGTCCTGCTACCAGCCCTGCCCGTGTAGTGATCATCCTGGGAAGAAAACACCATGGAGTTAAATCCTGGAAACTGCTTCTATGAGTGAGGCTATCATAGCTTCTGAATACCCAGAAAAGAAAGTTCTTGTCACCAAAGACCCAACACTGTCAAATGATTCAACATCAGAAAGTGATATGATTTTATCAATGGAAATTACGTTAATGATCACCATCTCTTATGTTGCTGTACTATAATGACCATGATACTTTCCCATCTGACTTGCAGATGGAAATATCATATCACTCCATGTTTGCTGCAGTCTGAGTAGAGTACTACGGTAGCCCTCCAGAGTTGGGTCTGCAGCCTATGGTCTACTCTGCCTATGAAGTCAACAAGTTTCTCCCCCCCCCATGCTAAACAGTCTTAGATTGAATAAAATATAAATGCTTTTTATAATGTCCTACAACCATAATATTCAATCTCTAACTCTTCCAAACAAGCCTGCCAGGTGAATTACAGATTGCCTGGTCATAAGGTTATATACGACATCAGAAGCTGTTCCTCTGAGACTGTTAATCTCACTGCCATTACTGACTCAGTTGCATTCCACTACTTCTATGTCTCTGATGGCTGGCCTAAGCTGAGTCTCACATTGCTGTTTTCCTGGAAGACATGGTCCCTGTTTATAGATATGGCAAAATTTAGCCTACATTATCTAACATAAAAGAATAGCCTCAGCTTTACACACATATCAAGCTTTACTTCTGAACTTAATTATCACATTCAGCTTCTTTGTAGGCCAACCTTCTTTGTTTAGTATTGGTCTCAGATTTTTAGAAGCTCTTCTTCCTCAGAGTCTGGACTGTAACATAGCTGCAGGTACTACTTACTACTTGCTCTAGTGACTCAGGCAATACCAAGAAAACTTCTGGAGTTTTCTCACTTGTTTTTATGTTTGTAGCCTTAACTGTACAATATTCTAACCTCTTTATATCCTGTACAGTATCCTTAAAATATTTTTATCCTTATATTCTGAATCTATGTCTAGTATTAGGTGACTGCTATGAGTTTCCACACCAAACACACCACAGTACAATTCAATTGCTTTAAGCCCCATCTTTTAAAAGACTGCTCCATGTATGACAAATTTAACACTCATATTCATTCAAGCCACAAAATTAAACACTATTACAGCAAGCAAACCCTATACAACTTAATATACTATGAAAGAAATATCAAAAGGTGTGAACTCAAATTCATGAAAGATTATCAACTTTTTCAAACACTAACATGTATCATATAATTATACACATAACAGGCCTTCAGAATTTCCTTATAAACATACGGCACGTCACAACATTCAGCAATAGACATACTGAACAAAAACGTTTTCATTTCAGCAGTAGGTAAAGTATAGGAGATCAAGTTAGTCTGAAAAGACAGAAACATCTAGTTAAATAAAAACAATAAAACTGAAAATGACAGAAGTTTTCCTCAAATATTCTCCAGGAAAACAATTTTAATAACCAGGAGATTTAACAAGTTACTTATGCCTAAAAAAAGAAAAGAAAAATCAGGAAAAAGATTGCTCATCGTAAGTACCGAAAAGCAAATAAAAGTGATTTAGATATGAGGAGTGAATTTCTGAGGCAAAATAACCAAAGCATACCACATAAAACCAAGAAATAAGCAACAAAACAATGATTAACAAATCATTTCTTGGGAGAAAAGTTAAAATTATCCTAATGTATCATCACCAGAGCAATCCTATCTCCCAGAAAAAAAAGAAGAGCTTGATGCAGTGGCCAGTTCAAATTCGAGGTCACCACTAAAATTCTAAGTCTAAAAAAATAAAATTAGAAAAAGAGAAAAGTGGAAAAAACTAATTGCCATGGACCAGCCCCCTTGGGGAAAGACTACAAAGCCTCCCTCCCCCACCCCTTTAGCATTGTTTAGGAAGCTTGGGGGCTTCCCCACATGTAATACTTGTTACCCATGTGTAATATGAAGTGAGAGGGGGGAAAAAGGGGCAGTCCTTGCCATCTCTGGCCACGGGAGTTGCCACAGCTAGCACTAGGTCACTGAGCACAGGAGCAAAGAAAAGCTTCTCCCTGCTTGCACACCTAGGGGAGGTGTGGGGCAAGTCATGTCATCATGCATTTATTAAGTACCTAATATGTGCACGACACTGTGCTAAGCAAAGGGGATATAAAGAAATTTTTTAAAAAAGTCCCTTCACATCAATGCAAGAATCTAAGACAACTCCAAAAGCCATACAATGGAAATTTCTATCCACATCCAGAGAAAGAACTATGGAGTCTGAATGCAGATGGAATAATACTATTTGCTCTTCTTTTCCTTTGTTGTTTTGCTTTATTGCTCCATTCTCGTGGTGCCTCCCATTAGTTCTAATTGTTCTTTACATTATAACTAATGGGAAAATATGCTTAATATGAATGTGTAAGTACAGCCTATATCAGACTGCACACCTCTTGGGTGGGTGGGGGGAAGAGGAGTGGGAGGAGGAGAAAATGCAAAACTCAAAATCTTATGGAAGTAAATGTTGAAAACGAAAAATAAATTAATTAATTATCAAGGGAGAAAAAGTCCCTACACTAAAGGAAATCAAAGTATAATGGAGGAGACAACATGCTAACAATTATGTACCCCAAATATAACATAAACAGGATAATCTGGGATAATCTTAAAGGGAAGGCATTAGGATTAAGGAGAACTGAGAAAGGCTAGCAGGTAGACTTTGGCTGAGACTTGAAGGAAGCCAGGGAAGAAGAGAAAAGATGAGGGAGAGTTCCAAGGAATGAGGGACAGTCATTGAAAACTCTCATAAGAGTGTCTTCTTCTCAGGAAGCCAATGTCACTGTATCACAAGGTCCAGGTTGTGTGCATGCGGAGGAGGGATGGGAAAATATAATTAGACTAAGAAAGATAGGAGGGGGCTAAGGCAGCGAGTGTGCTGGTAAATACTTAACATCCGACTCTCAGAAAAAGAAAAAAAACCTGTCCCCGTGACAAGCTTTTTTAAGTTTAAGCTGCATTAACTTTTTCTCCATCATGTTCTTAAATCTAGAGTGTCAATCCACAAAACAATAAATCAAACCCCGACTGGCAACATCTGCCCATTTCTGAGGTGTAGACGCTTATAATGACACTTTTAACAATCTGTTCGAGCTGGTTCTAGCACAGCCGGCTTCCTTCAGGCCCGGGGAGGGGGAGGCTGTGGAAGAGGAAGGAGAAGGAACGGGAGAGGGAAGGGAGGGAGAGTGGGGAGGGAAGGAGAAGAAGGAGGGTAAGGTAGGGAGGGGGCAGGAAAGGGAAGAGGAGGGGGCTAAGGGAGGGAGGGATGGAGAAGGGAAGGGACGTCTCTGAGCTGTCTCTGATCAGCGCAGTCTCACCGAACCCGGTTCTTTCAGCAGCACCTCAGCAATGACAGCGCCAGGAGGCAAACCGGACGGAAGGTCTGGGAGATCAACATCTCCCCCGACTCTTTCCTCCCAAAGGTTGAGGCGCCAGCAGAGAACTCGAACTTGGTGCCGCTTTGCTCTCGGTAAGCCCTATTTCTCCCAGAAGTCTCCGCGAACCAATCCCAGGTTCCTTCACGCGCGGCCGACTTTCCGGGAGCCTCGGTTTCAAAACATCCGCCGCGGTGCGTTTTGGGATTGATGGGTCTCTAGCCCCGCCGCCTTCGCTTTGGGGCTCAGGGAACCTGGGTCCTTGTTGGGACTTTCTCCAGCGTTTCTCAGTCAGTTCTGTGACGAAGGTCAGGTGCCCTTCCTGTACGTGGATGGAAAAGTCCCTAAAATGATTTTCGGGTCCAGGCTTTATGTCTCTGTCCACTCAGCGGGAGACAGAAGGAGCATGGCTCTGGTGTCAGACAATGCGTCCTGCTCCTGCATGACCTTACGCAAGTCACTTCACCCTCTGGGTCTCGGTTGCCTCATCTGGAAAGTGAGAGAGGGCCTCACACCCCCCAAATCAATGAACTTAAGGCATTTCGGCTCAGCTAGGTTAGTGCAGCGGATGGCTGGACACAGAGGCAGGAAAACCTGAATTCAAATTCAGCCTCAGACACAAGCTGTGTGACTCTGGGCAAGTCACTTAAGCTTTGTTTGCCTCAGTGGGGATAATAATAGCACCCACTTCCCAGGGTTGTTGTATGGGTAAAATGATGTATTTGTAAAGGGCGTTGCAAATCTTAAAGCACTCTATAAATGCTATTTCTGGTTATTCTGGGACTCTCCTTGAAGAAGCTTGGGTCCCATGCCAGTTTTTCTGGAGTTCTTAATGGAGAATATATTGAAGTGGGAAGATATCTGAGGCAGGCAAATCCACCAGCAGGCAATTGCAATACTGCAAGAGTGAGGTGCTGAGATCCTGCACCAGTGGTGGCAGTGACAGAGGAGAGAGGGGGCGTATTTGAGAGATGCTGCAAAGGTGTTTGGAAAGATGTTGCAAATACATGGATCTTGGCAACAGATTCGGCAGCAGAAGTAAGAGATAGTGAGGAGTCAAGCGTGACATATAGGTTACTAGCTTGAGAGACGAAGAGGATGATGTTACATCCTCTACTTCCACACAGTAATAGCAAAGGTAAGAAGAGGGAAGGCTTCAGAGAGAAAGAATGATTTTAAGATATCTATTGGACATCCAGTTGGAGACATTGAGATACTTGGTAAGTAGTTAGAGATGTGAGATTGGAGGTCAACAGAGTTATTAGGACAATATAGGTGGATTTGAGAATCAGCCTCACAGAAATGGTAATTAAATCCATGGGAGCTGATGAAGTAGTGTAGAGGGAGAAGAGAAAAGGACTCAGGATAGAAACCTGTGGGACACAAGTTAGAGGGAGTGATTGGATAAGGATTTAGCAAAGGAGACTGATAAGGATCAATATGAGAGATAGGAAGAGAACCAGGAGAAAGTGGTGTCCCAAAAACTTAGAAAGAAATTTCAAGGAGGAGAGAGTGATCAACAGTATCAAAAACTGTAGAGTAGTTGAGGAGAATGAGGACTGAAGAAAAGGCCATTAGATTGTGCTATTAAGAGATCATTGCAATTAAGAGAACTTTGGAGAGAGCAATTTCAGTGGAATTATAAGGTTGGAAGCGGGATTTGTAAGAGGTTAAGAGAGTGAGAGGAGAGAAAATGAAGGTACTTATTGTAGATGACCTGTTCAAGCAATTTGGCCACAAAAGGCAGAAGAGAAATAGGATAATGTTGGGAGTGAAAGGATAAAGTGAGGATGTTTTGAGGATTGAAGAGACATGAGCATGTTTCTATTTCAGTAAGGAAGAAGCCAGTAGACAGGGAGAGATTGAAAATAAGTGATAGAATGGGGGTAACAGGGGATAATTTGTTGGAGCAGAGAGGATGGAATGGGATCTCTTGAGCAGGTAGAGAGATTAGCCTTAGTAAGGAGTAAGGCTACCTGATCATGTGTTGTTAAGGTGGGGAGCCAGGTTTCAATGACAGGTAGAAGGTAGAAAGGGTGGGAGAGGAAAAGACTTAGGATCCAGGGAACTTTGTTGCCTATGGAACAAGATTTCCAGAGGGCACTGTGGAAAGGGAGAATGGTATTTGGTTGGAATTTGGGGTAGGAGTAGTGAGAGGATGGGCATAAGGCATTGTTTTATTAGCATAGATAAAAGTAATAGTTGATAGCTATGTATTTTAATAGTGATAATACATAGCTTAAAGATATAATTAAGCATTAAGCAAAACCAAGAAGGCTGTGATAGTACTTGCAGCCAGGAAAGCTGGCATGAGGGGAATGGCAGGAGATGGGGGGGAGCTAGCTTTTTGCACAGGTGAAGGAGACCATCTCCTGGACTCCAGGGTCCTTTCCTTACCTGATGGCTTGCTCTCACCTCTTGACTTCTCTACTCTTGTCCCTTTCTCACCTTTTCTCCAGAGGTTCTTTGTGAAACAAACAAGGAGAGGAGTTCTGGATCCAATGATGATTTAGATTTGAATGGAGCTCTTGGTGATTTAGATTTGAATGGCTAGCATGACTAGAAATAGCCAAAGTCACAGCTCACCAACTGACTACCCACATCATCTTTGTTGTGAGAAGCTTACCAGAATATCAATGGCCTGGCCCCAAACTTTTCCACTTCAGTTCATTACTCATCAAAGCACAGGTATTTATGGAAATTCTACTCATTGCAAATGTAAGACACTGTTATTTTGCAATGGATGAGACACAAATAACTAAAACAAGTAACGCAGAGCCTACTTACTTAACTCTTAAAATAAACTCATGGGAACATAAGATATGCACACACTGACTTCTAAAAGTTAATGAGAAGTATTGTTTTTCCATGTCCTGAAATGTGAAATCATGTAAGGGGTAATAGGGTTGGGGTACAGTTGGGGATAGGTGTGGGAACATTCCAGATAGAAGAAAGAGTTCTGTGTTCCGATTTTTTGACTCACAATTGTTTGATCTAATTAGAGAGGAGACTATTGTCTGTGGAACTGAGACCAATCACTTTATCTTCTTCCCTTCCTGCCAGTCCCAGGTGCCTGTAACTAGTGTCTTGTGGGTTTCCCTAGGTTGGAAGGATCCATCAATGAAGGACTCCTGTGTTGGTTGTGGCTGGCATCTGAAATGATTGGGACTCTTGTGTCTCAGATGCTACCATGATGGCCTTTCCCAGAGCATCTAGGATGATGAAGAAGTTGTGTAGGTTTGTGGAAGTGCCTCAAAGGCATCTTTCTCAACCTCCTGCTGAATTACCCCAGCAGTTTCTTAATGAACCTATTTTTCTGTGATGAACCCAGCCCATTCCTCAGGGTCAAACCCATCCAGTGGAAGTATTAGGAATGAGCAGAGAAAGAACAAAGGGTGGGCTGGGTAGGTAGTTTTCTTGAGCACACAACCAATAGTACCCTTATAAAACACACACATATATATGCATATTTTTTTAGCAGAGAAACCTACTCATCTAAATCCATAGCAACACAGAAATCAGAGAAAGCATGCATAAGAGAATATATACTAGATGAATGGGATGTCCCAGTGAAGACTCCTTAGTGTAATGAAGGTTTGGGATAAGGCTGAGTAGGATAAGGGGTCCTGTGAAGACTTCTTAGAAGAATAAATAGAAATTGTATTAGACTTAAGGCAAGCGTAGTAGCCTGACAGGCCTAAGTTTTAGTTTACTAGAAATCACCTGAGTTACAGGAGTCTAGCCCCAAGTACCCCCCCTTTCTAGGCCATTGTTATGTCACTAGTTAAAGGTTGCCAAGCCTGAAACTCCTGAAGAAACCCCCCTGTATCATGTTGCTACAACTATTGCTATACTTTAGTCATGGTGACCTTGCTACACAGTACAGTATTTAGCTTGACTGCACATTTTTGGTAATATTTCAACAAATTAAGGGCTAAATATGGATATTTATGATTTGTAACTAAAATATGCTTACTGTTTGTTGTTCTTTGTTCCTGTGGTAGAGTTTCGTGTTGAGATTGTGAGCCAAATCATTGGCCAGTTGGTGGGAAGGGGTCTTTACCCATTAGGGCCATTTAATCAGGTCCTTTGCTTCTGTGTCTTTGTCTCTCCTCATCAGAGCATACTGGTGGAGGGACACCCAAATCTCAAGATTTGAAATAATAATAAATAACTTTCTGTTTCTCCTTGGATACCTCTGTGTTTTTTAATTTGAGTGGCATCCCACACATAGACAACAAAGAGTGAAGAAGCTTTCCCATTGGGAGTGAGGTAACAATTCAACCAAGAAAGATTCCCAGATCTTATCCAAAGGGAAATTGCCTGAAGTCTCTAGTACAGCAAATTGGGGATAAGGACATGATGGAAATTACCAGTGCCTGTCATGTCAGCTTCTTCCTAGAGTTTTTTTTTTCCTTGTGCAACCTGGCATGAGGTTGGTATAGTCCATCTTCTACCTCAAAGCTGGGCACCTGAAGAACCCAAGGGAGATCAAAGAGATTAGATCTCTCTTCTCTTCCCCTCTCTCTTACTCTTCCCTGCCTCTTACACAGGCATAGGCGTTCATCTCCACCAGTTAGGAGAAAGTCCTATACTAATGTACTTTGAGGCTCCAGTTATATTCCTTCTGTGTAGGGGGAATGCAGGCCCTTGCAGAGATCACCTGGGACAAGTCAAAAACCTATAATTAATCCAATATAAAACACAAACAACAGTTCTTTGAAGCAAGGGTGGTTATCCTGGTGTCACAGGTAATCAACTTGAGGCAACATTAAAAGTGAAATAAAACAAATGCAAGTATTTTTTAATGCTAGAAAATCTGTTATCTTCAAGACATATAGGTGTTTGTATTTTAACGAGTCAAATGGAGTTTATTAAAGTAAGAGTTCCGGGTCTCCAGAGGACATGGGGGAGTAGGATGGAGAGTAGCTATGAGGAAGCCAAAATCAAGATGTCTGACTTATCTGGGATCATTCCCATCCAAAGCGAGGATCATATTCTTAGACCAAAAAGCCAAAGACTGCCACCTCAATCCATTTATTTTGTACATCTGGGGAAAGATTGTGTGATTGGACAAGTAATAGTCTCTCCTGATTAGGGATTGA